GAGTAACACAGCAAAGTATTGCAAACGTGAGAGCCGAGCATGAATGTTTTCATGTTTGCCGGAGACACGGACGGCCCTGACGCTGCCATGCGTGAGGTAAGTCTCTTAAATGAATGAAAATTTGATAGTAAATGGCACAGCAGGATAAGGACTGTGCCATGCCTATATGAAATCATAGTTATTTAGACTGCATGATTCCTACACGTACGTTAACTCGTATACTTTGCACATCTTGAGCAACTTCCAATTCACTAACGCTTCGACAAGTTTTTCAACGCGTCATAAAATATTTTCAAAAGGTTCAATACCAGATTTGGCATGTAGTGACGTCATTTTCCAACACTTCTCTTTAACTTCACTTCTTGTTGTTTGTCTGCTACAAATCTTTTAATTTACATTTAACAAACTTCTAATTGTCCAATCGATCTGAAAATAAATTTTCACACTTGCATAGAGTTGGAGACAATGCTTGAATCAATTGACAGAATAAATAATTTTGAGAATTAAAATATGTTTTTATATATTAAAAAGATTTAGAAATCAATTTTTTTAATAATTAGAAAAAATTAGAAATTCATTGTACATGTGTAACATCGGAGACAGGTCTCTTTATAAGTGTCTCTAAAATTTAATTTTTCACCTCATATAATTAAAAGAATCGTAAAGGTAACTTTGATACTTAAAATAGTTTCGAAAAAAAGGCAACAAGAAAACGTATAAACTTTTCTCAGTTCCCATTGTTGCTGACCACTCACGTCCAGCTTCCTACCCTGAAAAGTACTCATACACCCATGTACTCAACTTAATACATAATTTACCAATTCAGTCCTAATATTTAGGTGGAAAACGCAAGTACATTTCCTCTAGGATAAATTTTTCCAGCAGAATTAAAAGTCTCGTTGTAAAAGTCCTTATCAGTGCACCTAAATAAGCGGTGATTAGGCTTGGCTTAAGGAGGATTCCTATACTCGCATCAGTTAGGGAACAAGTAACATCGCGAATACAGTATATAAGAACAGACTATTTTGTTTCAATTATGACACGCGTCATAAAAATATATTCACGAGCTCGGCAGCAAGAATATATAATTATAAATTTTATATTTGTTCTTCTACATTTATCTTCATCAGAATACAATTTTTCTCTTCCGTCAGTTGCGAAATTCTTTCCTTTATCAGCGACTGCTGAGCACGAGCATGACTCAAGAGTCTTCCCTGGCCTTGTTCACTGACTCCGCTGGCTGAATAAAAACAGGGATATGTGTTGATCAAATGATACAGAGACCATTTCGATTTTCTCCGTCTATTTCCTGGATAATGAATTCCTCGTAAATTTATTTACAACAACGTCGGTCGTATGTTCAATAATATACAAGCAGCACGAGATGTGATTAATAAAGGCTAATTCTGAACGAAATAGTTAGCCATATCACAAACGCAATAAGAAGGGAATCCACTCGTGCTGAAAGAGCAGCAGTCAGCAATTAAATAATAAAATAATCTAGATGAAAACTGGAATAATCACAACTAATTGCATGCTAAAATCCTTTTACTACAGAGTCACGAAAATAGAAGACAGTGAATGAGAGTAAAAATAGACTTAACCTTTGGGAGCGGTTCCCCGTCACCGTTTCAGCGGGAAACTCTTTATAATATTTAGCGGTCGACATTCTGCATGCAGCCGAAATAGTGAGTTATAAGCGTTAGCATGCCGAGTGTACCTATTGATTAAGTTTTGCAATTGATGGCTAACAATGACATGTTCGTTCTACATGTTTCAATAAACAGTTTCTTCACATTTAGTTGTGCTGAATACATTAGAGCAACTAAATGAGCTTCCAATATGATGAGTGATCATTCTATTCATATATTGTATTAATAATGGAGCTATAGCATACGAACTCAAACTGAATAATTTACGAATAGGAATAAGTTGGCTTGTTGTGTTTTGCTCACGATGCGCTGTACAATCCATCCAACAAAACGTACATATATTTTTTGGAATTCTAGACCTGCTCTTTACGAAAAATTTATGTTTGACTGGAGAAAATTTTCTTCTAAATTCTTCTAATCATTGTTGGCAATATCATGCTCGTTATTGGCGAAACGAAAGCCGGATTTGTTAACATTTGATAAGAGCTTACTTGACGGCTACGGTGCTTCCCTGGTGAAAAAAGTTATGCGACCTCAACAGGAAAGCCTGCAGATGCGCCAGAACTGCGGTAGGCACGCAGGCTTCGCGCTAAGAAAACGTCCGTGAACTTTGGCACTAGCGATTGTTTGTATTTTTCCCGCTATGATCCTTGTTCAAAATTATTAGTGCTCGGTATGTACATTCCTTGATTGGGAAATGCGTGGAAAATGAAATAAATTATGTAAATTTTTAGTGCTACTCCCAAAATTAGTTATTTATTTAGTGAATTTGTACCAAAACCAAAATTATATGATTAAATATTGGAATAATTAAAATTATTTAAATCCGAAATACTGAATCGTCATCCAACGTCATCGAGAAAAATTAGCAAGCACGTATTGTAACATACAGAAAGAAACTAACCAAAGAAAAACAGGTGGGAAAATTATTATAAAAAAATTGCCAAATTAATGTTCGTGAATGTGAAATGAGCGACAAAAAACACGGAAGCTGAAGGTCCGTGCAACAAACGCACGACAGATGCTTAAAATTTGTGGAAAAGTTTTCACGGAAGGAAGCCATTCAATCTATACTCTGCAGCCGGGTGATTAGATTCATTTGAGACAACTTTATGCGTCACAATGATGAACGAACAATAGACACATCAGTGCCAGCGCTGAGAATCATTTAGAAATAATAGCAATTGTGTAGCTGCATATCAAAATTGTACTACTATGGCCGATTTTCCATCAACAATGGAAACATTTGTGTATATTATGTGAGCTAACTCGAAGTGATCAAGCTGTGCTACTGCAGCTCCCGAGCTAACTCGAAGTTATCAAGCTGTGCCACTGCAACTACCGAGCTAACTCGAAGTTATCAAGCTGTGCCACTGCAGCTACCGAGCTAACTCGAAGTTATCAAGCTGTATCACTGCAGCTACCGAGCTAGTTTGAACATGACCGATGTAATGCCACTGAAGTTACCGAGCTCAATGACAACATATCTGCAGTAACATCCTCTTAGCAACCGACCTTTGGCTGCTTCACAGGATGAACTAAAATCTTTCTACTCTTACATCCATTTTGTAAAAAAATCTAAGAACTGTAAAATTGTTACCTCAGAAAAGGTTTTATTAGCTTTACGGTTTTCGTTTATCGAAGGCGATGGAATAGTACATTCAATAATACAATGTATGCACATTATACGGACACGACCTACACTTTTTTATTACAATGCGAGTACAGAAACTGGATTTCATCGCCGGAAATATCATGACAAACAGTTTGATCGTTCAAAAAGTCAATGAACAATATCAAGGTTGAGTGCCATACAGGGTCCGAAATGAAAGTCTTAACTTATATACTGGGCTCATACCCAAATTTTGCACTTTCCCACCACAAGAAAATGTTCTACGAATTCCCTGAAAGAACCTCCGCATCGAGGTACGATTCCATGATCCTGCTTAATTTCGGCTGGAATATTTCACATACTTGCATGCCAAATTACATTTCACTTTCGCGACCTTTACAAAACTGTGGTTCACTGGAGTCACCCACGCCTCTTCACTTAACGAGGACTCAGTCTCAAGGTTTGCCCCCACACACTAAACCGCATATTAGAGGTTCCGTACTTTCCTCATCGTGGAACAAAACACCTTCCCGATTCTGAAGGAAACATCATTCAAAGAACAATAGCGCTCGCTGTTTCATAACACACGTTGGGCTTCATGGTGGCGGTTGTGCATTTATGAGCACGAGTAGTCGACACTGAAGACAATCGTTCACTCATGCAGGATCTTTCAGCGATTAGTAGAGCGGCGACATATTGTAATTCTAAACTAAAATTAAATTCGTTGTCACTAAACCAGAGTGATTAGCATACATAGCCAGATACCTTTTATTGTATAAAATTTGATTATCACACGAAAAAATAGAAAGCTTAAATACGAAAAGCACAGAATATTTCACAGAGAGACTAGACGGAGAATGTTGAGCAGTCAGCACAGAATTGATGTGAGGTACACGAATCACGCGAAAATTTCCATGTCTGCTCAGACAGTTGCACAGATGTTACTTACTTGTAAACAATCAATTGAATGATTATTGTGGTAAATGATAATGTCAGTGAATGCGCCGCAAATACTCAAATACATAATTAATTAGATGGTCATTTTGACATCGTAAAATAACAAAAAGGTGCGCAAATACAATTTATACAAAAAATTGTAATATTACTTCTATGTCTTGTTTAATTCAAATTCAATACATTAATACTATAGTCCTCCATTATTGTGAAGACAAGAGCTAAGGGGGAGGGATGCACGCGTCCAATAACGGTTAGTGTACAGGAAGCCCCTCCACCCGACACTCGCTCCTAGACCTCATCACTCGAGGATCAGCTGGAGTAAAGGACGAGCGATGCATCTGTCACCACGTCAATTGATTGAGAATTATACAAATAAAACATGAATCTCGGTCCGGAGATGGTGACTATTTATTTCAACCAATTCAACATGATTTTCGACGCAGTGTTATGTATCCTATTTGTTGTGAATAAGTAAATTTTTAATTTTTAGATTATAAAGGTTTAAAATGGCTGCTATTCATTACAAAACAATGAGTACTAAATTAACCATGTAGCATCAAGCACACGTTAGCTGCGCGGTATCCAAAAATAGAACAATGAAAGGATAGCAAAAAAGAAATAATCGTGAATAGTTCAGTTCAGGATGTGGTTCACACATGTTCATGCCAGGCGCCCTCTCATGCAACAGGCAGCTGCGGTAGGACTAATTTAACGCACGGGCAGCGTTGGGCTTGCTGGGCGCGTATATAAAGGATCGTCAGCTTCGCTGAGGCCTCATTGTGGAACTGACGTTCTCAGGATCAACATCGCTTGCCCACCTTCACTCAACATGAACAAGCTATTGATGGTGAGTCGCGTGGCTCTTCACTCAGTGCTGAATGGATTTTTTGTGTGCATCAATTATGTTTAGATGTTCATTTAATGACTCATCATGACTATGAACGTTAAGATCTGCCAAAATACAGGTTTTAATTTACCTACACGGTACAAATCATTTCATCGACTCATTATTTATATTATTTGATTATTATGCTGTAATAGACAAGTGGTTCCCAAATTACATTACGCGTAACACTAATGAAGCGTGGAGGCCGATTACTTTTCTCGAAAGCTTCTGAGTTGGAGATTTCTTAATACAAGGAAAATTTTCATCACCTAACACAATTGCAGTTATGCCACACGCTACCCACCTGGTCCCAGTTCACCACCAATTCAAACGGTTTAGTTACTGAATGCTCGAATTATTCTCGCATTAAATATGATTAGATTGAATAATACTACATATTAGCGATTGATACGTAGTATTATTAGCATGTGATGGCACCTGGCGGCAGAGGCGTCGCTATAGGTTTTAATGACAAAGAGTGTTAAGCTCTGTAAGATTTACCATCATATTGAAGTTGATAATGGATGGTTTAATCTATATACAGGTTATATTATAGTGAATTTGCCGTCATTTTAGTACCAAAATAAAATAAGGCTACATTTTGTTGTACATAAAATTATTTAGGAAGCTCAAGAATATTTTGGGGGGTGGCTGACGCACCTCTAAAATAGACCTTATAAGATGCCACTGCCCAGTGGTGCGAGACGATTGTACGATCTCCAAAGGGTACTCCAGCTATGTTGGAGAACCTTTAAAATATACAAATAAGATGAAAAAATATTAGTACTAAGATCACTTGATTCTTTAAATCGCAAATTTATCAAGAACTTGAAAACAGAAAAAAACGCAGAAAAAGTCACCATTTCTTATGCGAGAAACCATTTCAGAGTTCAGCTCCATCGTTAGTTCAAAAGCTTTCAATTCCTATCCCCCCAAATTATAAATGAATAGGTTTGTCAGCTCCTGTTTATGTAATTTTTAATTGTTTTTATATGAAGAATTATGTTTTAATATCTTCAATATGAATATTAGTTCACTAATTGTTTGCACTTCTGTTCTAGGTTGTTGAACTGACGATGGAGCTGGATTCCAAAACATTTTCTCTCACTAAAAATTGTGCTTTTTTGGCATTTTGCTCTGCTTATAAATTACAAAGAAAACATTAATTTAAGACAAGTAAATTTTCAGAACTTAATTTCATTCAATTTTCCCACATTGCGCATTAAATTTTCCCGCATAACGTATTTAATTGAACATTCAAATTCATGTTCAGATCCTGCTCTTGGGCCTGGTTGCGGTGGCCTTGGCGATCCCGCGACCTGACTTTGACGACGACGATGACGACGACGACGACGATTTCTTCCGGTTTGGTCACAACAGTCTCCGCCGTGACCATTTCCGACCGTCGTTCCGGTCTAACTCGTTCCGTCGATCTCATGCTTTCCAGCCTTCGTTCAGACCGCAGCAGCCAGCATTCAACACCTTCAGTCCGTTCCCTCGTGAGTGCCGACCTCCTGACACCAACCATCCTCCAGAGGACGGCACGCATTTTAGTAACCTTCTTGACACGCCAGTGCTCACGTTCGTGCGCTTCACGCCTTTCACTTTGGTGCGCAGAAACGCGCACTCAGAACCGTCGCTCTTCTTATACGTGAGAGATTTTATTGTCGGTTGCAGGCAATGGATTTGATTTCCTACGATGCACCGATCGTAGTTAGAGCGCACCCTACTACTACAGCATGGGAAAACAGTGTTCCCTTCTCTTCCTTGGGGCAATTCACTACTTTTCTTTCGAAACGACTCTTCGGAATAAATCAATGTGCACGAGATTCACTTGGCAAAAAATGTGGACTGTGGGAGTTTTTGCCCTTTTGTTTCGTGTTTTCGAGACCACAGCTAACTTCTTCATTCTGAAGCAAATATCCTAATTTTTTTAAACGTTATCGGTCAACTGAGGTTTTAAATTTCTTCGAGTGTACATATAAGCTACGTTCGTATTATGTAAGGTATAAATACTATTTAAATGCGTACTGTACAAAACGCCTGCATGACCAATTGGCATGACTATTGAAATTAAGTAATAAATTTAAAATTGAAGATTTCATAGTGACGTGGGCTATTTTCCGTTATTTTTTACAGTAGGAAATAATTATAGTTGGAAGCGGTTCGAAATTTTAAGATTAATATAAACACTGGTGGCTGAAGAACTCGTAAAAATTCTTGGATGTGGAGGCTTAGAATGCAAGGAGATTTTTTTGTTCATTTTAGATTAAAAAAAAACACCTTTTCAATCATCTGAGCAATTCGAATGAATTGCAGAAAGTCATTAATAATATTCGAATAACTCTCGTATGATTGCAATATTAAAAATACTTTTGAATGTACAATTACACTTCAACCATGCACGTTACCACTTCGGGTAGAACGAGTGTATGTATAAAAAATGATTATATTTTGCAGGGTTCCAGATACATCGCCGTTCTTTCCCAGCGCTGCACAACTTCAGAAATTTTAGATTTGGCGACGACGATGATTACTTCGATGACTAAGGCGGGTGCCCCCTTCGAGCCGCCTAAGGAGGTTGGCACTCTTGCTTTGAGTGAGAATCATACAGATGCTCATTTAAGAAGCGAGCAAAATGAGATCAATGCAAAGAAACGAATAAAAAACATTATAGACTTCAACCCAAATCCCAATCTCTTGTCTAAAAAAGCAGTACAAACTAGAAAAATGAAAATGATGGAAAAAGAGCCCCGGCATTTCAGATACAATAATTTTGATACAAAATTTAAAGTTTACCACGAAAACAACATTGCTTCAAGTTCAACCTTGGTGAAAACCTACGTCAAGCCTTCAGGAGTTAATCCTAGCACAGCGCTTTCTTCTTCCGGAATTAGCCGAGACGTCTTCCAAAGAAATAGAAATGAAATGGAAAGAAGTAAAAACACTACCAAAGACTCCACAATTCCAACGCGAGAACTCGGTAGTCGGCAGAAGCAGCTGCTCGGAACCGAGGATGGACGCTCTCAATTCAGTAATCGAAATCAAGAGGAGCCAACTACAACCAGGAAGCCATTGTGGCGTTCATGGAAGAAGACGGGTGCCATCAAACCAACTAAATGGAAACAAAATAAAACGGCAAAGAAAACGCGTGCTCAGAAACAGGGAGGCACTGTGAGGAAGGTGCTAAAAGGTAGAAGGAAATTAACTTCTGCTGAATCTCAAAGACATTTTTAAATTGACGTTAAAATTAGTGGAGATGTTTTGAGAGCTAGGCCTATTTATTATGGCAGTCGTGACTGTCTTCAAGTAGTTTTAACGTTCGATTAAATGTAAAAAAACTTTCAGATTGTGAAAATTGCGGAAATATTAGTAATGTTTACTAATAAATGTAAATACCGGTTCATAAAATTGAGATGAGTTTGATATCCGAGTTTACTATGAGTATATCCCTATCATATGCATATGCCTGTTTAAAACCATACCCTAAAGCCCTTCAAGAATTCCTACGCTAATAGAAAGTGAAGAAAGATTGGTGCAGTCGAAATGGTTTAAATTAGACCAGAAAAGTCTCTATACACATTCTGATTTCAAATTCCTGCATCCCAAATATCAACGTACAGTGGTACTCCGGAAGCCGACGTTGAATTTCTTCCAGCAGATGCGTCGACTAAGGCAATTAGAGGTAGCAATGAAAAATATTTTGACGATACATACCTTGACATTGAAGAACAACGCCGCGGACATTTCCTCCGGCCGGTCTTCTGGTCATTCATGTGAAGATTACGATGACCTGACCTTCATTCTCTTCATTTCTTGGTATATTTATACAAATCTTGGACTTATTTTCTTTGAGGAAAATACAGTGCAGCCGTGGATCACCAACTTGTAACACCGATCGTTCCTGAAATGAACGCCTTTAAGGTGCTTGCTTGTACACGGGGACAGTACTAGCGGCCAGTAGATTAAAAAAAATGCCAATTGTCTGCCGCTTGGTGTCTATCCCGCAAGTAAGCTTAGACACGAGGCAAGTTTAAGGTGCCGCCGTGCCGGTAACGACTAGATACCTGCACGGCGGCACCTTAAAACTTGCCTCGTGTCTACGCTTACTTACGGGATAGACACCAATCGGCAGACATTTGGCATTTTTCTGATCTACTTGCCGCCAGTACTGTCCCCGTGTACAAGCACCTTTAGTTTGCTTCCATGAGGCTACACATCAGCCACTCTCAGTGATCAGCTCAAAAGATCATTCTGTTCATGGCGTCAAAAAAATGTTTCAAAAGATCAAAAATTCATGGCGTCACACCTTCAATTGCAGAAGCGATGCAGCTCTAAGTGTAAATTACAGGATAAGAAGGTCCATAGTGTTCCGGCTCATTAATACTCGACGTCACATCTAAACATTCCTTCGTATTTTTGCCAGCGTTCGAATTGTGCCCAACGTGGTCGGGCCAGTAAGAATAGTTGCGTGGAACCTGCTTAGCACTAGGTCGTTTGTTTACGTACTAACAGGCCTGCGTGCTCGTCCTTAAAATACTGCTGAAGAAATTCTTATACTAGTGTTTTGTACGCAGAATAGTGAGGTCGTTGAAGTACATCTTGGAGATGTTGAGAATGAATATTGAAACATACCTAGAAGTAACCAATTTGTAGTAAAATCGTTTCAGGTGTTGCTTGACGATGCTAGGCCATGCTATTCCCGGCGGCTGGTCGGTCTATAGTCACAGGATTTCTTCGAGTCTTTTGAGGCTGCTAACGTGATGGAGCAGAATTGCTGGGAACTTCTTCTTGTCAGGCCATGGGGTAGCCGGGTACTGTTGGCCGCCGACAGTCACCCAAGAAAGAACGTTCCGTGCACAACCTAACTAGCGCGGCAGACAAATGCCAATCGTGACGGTGGAGCTAACATTAGCGACGTTTGCTTGTCACTTGCATCCACTTCAGATTTACGATTTTGACAAAATTTTGCGTCGCGTCCCAATTTCGTCGAGTTTCGGCAAGGTATACTTCGACACTGCAGTAATAGTTGCATTTAACACATCCAAATGAAGGGGATTTCGTTCATTATTTTTAGGACGAATCGTAGAAAGTATGTGAAAATGAATAACACCGTGAAGTGTATTCTACGAATTAAAATTTGTAAAAAAGATGGAAACATGAATAAATAGCTATGATATTATCAACTCTGAACTTTTTATGGACGCAACTTTCCAGCGGTTTACTTATATAAATTGAGAAATAGTAGCTTTGCTGTGAAAATATATGAAGTCATTTCTAAACACAAGGTGTAATGAAAAACTGGCATTTTCATTGAATCAAAACACAAGTCTTTATTCAGTCAAAATACAAGTTCAACTAAGAAACGTAAGCAATAACCCATGAATAAAACTAAGAAACATAAGCAATAACCCACAAATAAAAAAAAAAAAAAAACACAATAAACAGAATATCTGGATTACAGAGGATCGCATGAAGCGTTTTCTCGAAACATTCATTACTACGTTTCCAGTCAGAATTGTGCGAAAGGTGGGAGCCTGTTCTACATGAGTGTACGCTTCTGAACAAGACAAGAGTTTCAACTTTTCAAGGCCATCTACATCGAGGCACGTAACTAAGAAACAAATGTGGCTGTGCTGTTAAGAAATATCCTTTTGCCCATAACGAGTATAGTTATTAATACTAATTTAATACATAACAGTAAGAAATCAAACTACAGTCCAAAAATATCCGTCGACCAACAAACGAGGTATTTTGGGTCAAGGCAATCCGTCAGAATTGATGGGCAAAGCGCGTCTCCGGAAGTGAATTTAACGTCACCACGTTGATATGGTCGGCATATGAATAACTGATTCGCTGACTAACACGTTATGACGGTAACAAGTATCTCACTGCTCTTACTTTCTATAAAAACATTGCAATGCGCGATTGCATCATTATGAATTTTCACCACTAGATAAAATTCAATCGGACTGGAATTGTTACTTCACTGAATTTTATGAAAAAACACGATGATATTGCAGAGAACCTGTCCAATCTAAGAACTTTATCTTGTACACCGTAATCCATCTACTTGACAGTCAAGCTTGTGTTTCTTCAAATCGTTCATATGGATAGTTGAATAATGAATGGTCCATATGGATTTTTACTGAATAATCTACATCTCAGCTGAGTGCCAGGTAGAGTCAGTTTACAGTTATGAAATAAATTTTTTTTAAGATTTGATAGAAATTATACAGCACTGTCGAGAACACCTCGTACAAACCATCATCCCGGCTACACGAGCTGCGGGTCCCTCAATGCCGAAAAGGCAAATGTGCTTTGATATAACAGCACTAGTATATCGATACATGAATATATTTGAAAAATAATATTACTGATAATATCGACGGCACACGTAGAAGGCACAAACAGCGTATGCGATTAACGCACTAGTCGAGAACTAATCCTACACGGAATCATGATAGCATCATATTCCAGTACACCATCTCAATAGCATGTCTTGGGCAAATCTATGAATAACATTACACTCAACGAAAGACAACCTAGGTGGCGCAAAGCTAATTAATATTCTCATCTATTTCAATCAAAATAATCAATGATTATTGATATTTTTATAAACATCAGGCGCTAGCCATAGGCAACCAAATCTGAAATAGAGAATAAAGTTTAGCTAAGAATAGTTGAGGTTTGGCGACCTCAAATAAAATAAATAAACTAAATTGAACAGAAGTAAAAGAAGAAATTTTCAGGCTGAACAATATTGTTATAATGAATGCATTGTCCAATCAAAGACTTGATCATATCACGATTTTTACAACATATCTAAACATTTATTACCTATGGTAAAATGAAGAGACTATGGTCTTATTCAAAGTACATCTGGCACATCAGCACCCGATGCGATTCGAGTCAACATTACTCTGAACATAGACGCCAGCCTGTATAGCAGCCTCAAACTTGCAAAAATTGGAGCAAAACAGCGCGACTTATAAAAAAGGCCAGGATATGAAGAGAAGCTCCATATAATGATTAGCTCTCAGAAAGAAGCAAAATAGAAAGAAAGCTTCAAAATTGTTTCTTTATAATCAGACTGTGTGAAATCCTGATGGGTCAAGTCGTCGCAAAATAAGAAGGGCCTACGTACGATCTCATTTTTCCTACGTACCTCATAGCGGAAATATGGCTGGTTTAGCTGTCTAATGCAACTAATACTCCGATGATAAAATACTCCGTAACTGATACTGCGAAGATAAAAAACAGCTAGCCAAAAGTGCTTACAGTTTCTGAGCCTTACTCAGAATAAATGTTTTACTTTTATAATTTGCAGCGGGCTAACAAGACCGTCATTCATCAATGTCACTATTATCAGCCGTCCCTATCAGTTCGAAGTTTTCGCATTAAATTTTAACGTTGATGAAGTAGTGGGGGCAGTACTCGCGACTGTTGTACTTGACAAATATGGACGGTACGGTGAGGTTGTCCACAGTCGTGTCAGTCATGATGCCTGATGCGTTGAGAGGAGGGCGTAACATGCTTGGGTCACCGAGCGCTACGTTGCCTACATACACGTCGGCGACTGCAAGCACCACGGCACTGCGAGAGTCTTCTCCTGCTAGGTTTGACGCGAACTGATGAGCTAGGGCAGCACTGAAACAAAATATAAAAATATTTATTGATAAAGAAAAACCACAAGGTCAAACAGGGCCACAGAATAATAATGAACTAGATTCCAACTATAATATTAAGGTATGGTAATAGTGCCAAGGTGATGAGAATTCATTTATCAAGTCAAGTAAAAAGCGGCAGCTAAAGACTTTCAGTAGTCTAAGTCGTGACTCACTTGTTGAAAAAATAGGCGCCTCGTCCAAATTTCTTTCCAGAATCAGCACAGTCCTGCCTCCACTCGAAGTTCATTTCACTGATCGCAGTCAAATGCTTCTCCCTAGTTCCGTGGAACAAACGCTGGATGTTCAGAATAGTCTTCCTGGTGGTAGCCTTCACTTGATTCATGCGATTTGTGAAGCCTTGATAGTGGAACGTATTTTGGAGGCGGCGAATCCGTAAAACCTCGACAGCAGGCATGGATAGCAAAATACTTCGGACGACTTCTAGCCCTTCCTCTGAATTTGGATCAACGCTGAAAAATTTGGGGCCATCTCCGTCCATTTTTTCCCAAAAAGGAGGATACAAACCATCGGCGCTGTCCTTCTCGTTCTTAGATGGAGGTCGAGATGCATTGTCCTTCGAATTCGTAGCAAGTTTAAGCTTTGCAATGCCCTCAGTCAGAGAGCTCTTCAGACCATAAGGATCCGACGGTTTCAGCTTCTCCATGAGAACATGCTTCGGGCGTCGGCGTACGGAACGTGTGACATTCGTTTGGTTGTTAGTCTGAGTCATATTTTTAAAGTTTAAAGTGTAGGTGAAGCGCGATGTTGGGATTTGAAGAGTGGAAGGATCAGTACTGTAAGCTTTTTCTATGTCCATCGATGTCAGAAGAGACGAGTGATTCTCGGAGCCGGTACTATCACACAATCCGTACTCGATCCAAGCACCATTCTTGTCTTGAAAGTACCATCCGTAGACGGTCGAGAAGTTGTTCGAACTGAAGGAAGTAGAAGACGTTCCTAGACGGCGCACCGGAAAGCTTTGTAGCTTAGTGATCAGCATCATTGAGTCAAAGTCAATCATCAGTCCATCATCTTTCATGAAAGAAAGCAATATTTTATCTTGGAGAGTTCTACCATACTCTCGCGACTGTAGGTTAGCTGTGTCACGGGCAGCATCACGGTAGCATTCTTCAATGTGGTTGGAGTGTGGGAAAATGAAGTTTGTCCAAGATCCATTTAGATCAAACTGCCAATGATACGCGACTCGTGCGTGCAGCTTAGGGCACATGGCAGTTGCAGGTTTGCAGGAATCGTTCAAGTGGTCCAAACATATTTCGGGTACAATAGCATTTCCGTCCAATTGGTAGGACGTTTTAGCAACAATGGCATCGCTTTTTTCATTTCCTGGCTCATTCTTACTTTTTTTTACTGGGAGTTTCGCAGGTTTTGGAGGCACAATTTTCTCTTTTCGTCTTGCGTTTGTTGCAGGCTCGGTCGCGGTCGTGCTTTTAGGCATTGTAGAAATTCTCGCTGATAGCACAGTTTTCAGTACACTGTCACCTATTTGTGCCCAGGCTGCTAAAACTTTTCGATTTCCGTCGCTCAAAATGTCGTGGTTTTTATCGCAGTTGCGCTTATAGCAAGCTTTCAGTGTAAACAGGACATCATAGCAAACGTGTAGTTGACCACAATTTGATTGAGTACAATTCCCTTCATTATACGGGAAACAAACGTACGGAAGGCGACCCAGTTGGAACCTCACTTTCAAATAATTGATCACTAATTTCTCAGGAATGTTGATCAAGAAATGACGTTTCAGGATCTCCTCATTGGGACTTTTATTCAGACGATGCAATCTGGTGCAGCCCTCGTTGGAGCAATTATCTTCCATGAAGGCTGAGCATAAGTGCAAGAACGAACAGTTCTTGCCAGCAACACATTTTTGCGATGACTTGTAATGGACACACAAATCAATCTTCGGTTGCAACTTCACCAGTGTTCCTGCATTGCTATGGTGTATCAAGAAAGTCCTGTTGTAGAACTGGATTAGCTGCAGGGATTTGTCGGAGCTCATTTCAAGTCTTTCACTAAGTTTGTCCAAGAAATTCCAGTAATTGAATGTGGACAGCAAGGATTTCACGACACTGAAAGCAGCAGTCTCTTGCTCCTCCAAGGATTGGAAACAATCCAATTTACTTCCTGTTTTCTTATTCTTCTTGTCTGCGTCATCAGCTTTGGACTTGGCATCGTCACTGGTCTGTTGGAGCATCTTCCTAACTTTTGTCAAAATGTCTCTCTTGCTGTCGTTGATATCAATTCCAGCCGCAGTGAGTAAGGACTTGCATTTAGCTTCCAGAATATCATGATTGAGAGCACAAATTTCACTTTCGCATTTGCTTCCAACTTCCACCATATTCTTGCAAACATGCAAAGCATTACACTGCTGACCATTGCTGCACACTGCATCGTTATAATACTTACAGACGGAAATGCCAAGTCGCCGGAGATAGACTTTCTTCATCACATTCTTCAGCTGAGCCTCATCAAAGCTGTCGAGTTGATGTATTTGGAAAATTTTCTTATTGTGGTTACTCTTCCAAACATGGCCTAATTCGCATTCAGTGCTTTCTTGACAATCACCAGAAGCAAAATTTTTGCAAATGTGAAACTTCTTGCAGCTATCGGATGCCATGCAGCCCTTCTCTCCTAAATAGTCATCACAGATCGCAATGTTTGGAAGAAGCTCAACAAACGTACCATCTGAGTTCACGGTAACTGATAGTAAAGTCTTGTTCATAGAACCAACAGTTTGCAGAGCGTGCTCTGAGCATTTAAATTTGTTTAGAATTGTTTTAGACGAGAGTCGTTGATGAGGAGCTTGCATGAGAGCATGGATAAGTTCTTTTATTTCAAGACGCGGTGCAGCACTATTTTTACTCCGGGAGTCTGGGTCATCTTTAGCTCTTGGTTCACCGCGAGGATGGGAGCGGCTGTGTGGAGCATTTGTGTCGTGATGCGGGTGAGGAGGTCCATTAGAATGAGGGTAGTTTGGTTCACTAGAGGGATAGTTGGAAGGTACGTTAGGGTGATGGCTAGGAGGTGCATTCGAGTGGTAGTTAGGAGGTGCGTTAGGGTGATAGTTGGGAGGTGCGTTAGGGTGATAGTTGGGAGGTGCGTTAGGGTGATAATTAGGAGGTGCGTTATGGTGATAGTTGGGAGGTGCATTAGGGTGATGGTTGGGAGGTCCATTGGGATGATAGTTGGTAGGTGCATTTGGGTGATAGTTGGGAGGTGCGTTAGGGTGATGGTTGGGAGGTCCATTGGGATGATAGTTGGTAGGTGCATTTGGGTGGTAGTTGGGAGGTGCGTTAGGGCGAGAGTAATAGTTTTGCTGAGGGCCATGATCAGGCGAGCCATAGTGATCACCATGATAAGGAGGTGGGCCACTTAAAGGTGATTCAAGCAGAGGTCTTGGATAATTGGAAGGAGTTTCCTGATATCTGGCATGATCCTCACGAGGTGTAGGATTGTTCCCTCCTTTGCCACGACCCCGACTGTCTCCTCGGCCACGACCTCGACTTCTGGCGTTAGCCGCACCACGATTGCTTTTTTTGGGCTCCGAAAGGTTGGTCATGGACTGGCTACCACGAGTTCCCCGGCCCTGAAAGGACAAAGGAAGACCTGAGATTAGCGATCCAAAAGAAAAAAATATTTTTCTCTGCAAATACACCAAGGGTCAACCAGTAGGTGTAAATCTGGCATATATCCTCTCAGTTAGTCCTGAAATAATTCTGGTTAGTTGATAATCTTGAATAACTTGGATGGCTGCCTAAATACAACTTAAATATAAATGCTCCATCTTAGCATAGAAAAAGTGTGCCTACTGGAAAACAAAACCAAGGATAGCTGAACCCATCAGGGTTTATTGCCCATCGCTACAAAATGCTGAAATTTGTCATGTTATGGGTGGATGAGCATCAATTTGAACTGAGTGGTTTGAATGCATAACTGCTTTATAATTGGAAAAATTATTGATTTCTCACTCTCACATTGGAAACTATTAACCCTTTCATGGGCTAGTTACCATTTATAATTTTATGTTATTAATTTTTTCATTTGCATAAAATTAGAGAGAAAATATTTTGTGTAGTGACCACATTCAATAAATTCTCCAAGTGCAATTTAAACCTCCAATATGGAAATTTTTTTAAAATACATAAGAATGAATATTTCATATCATACTTCTTACTTTCCTGAACTAGTTTCTGAAATTATAATTTTTAAATATTTCAATGCTTGCCCGTGAAAGGGTTAATGAATAATTAATTGATTTGCAGCACCACTTTTTTACTGCAAGTGATCATATTTATTAGGCAACTGAAATTAGTGTTCATTAAAAATAGCTGCAAACAAGCCTAACGGTTGGGTGTTTCTGAGTCAACAATATCATCAAGCATATCTTGCACATTAATACATACCATCTATAACAGTACTTGCATTACCTGCTTTAGAATGGAACATAGAACATTTCAAGATGTAAATTTTCCCAGGTAAAAAATATGTAAATATAAATACATATATACATGACTTTCAGCTTGTTTCACATATATGGCCTAAAATCACTCATTTCTAATACTTGAAAATTCATCAGTTCTTGTAAAAACTACATATAAAATTCTGCAGAACAAAATATTTCAATAAAACGCATAATGTCTCTTATTACATATCTATGATAAATTCATTAGCTGCAATTTCCTATCTGAATATTGAAAATGAAGAATTTATTTTTTTGTTAAATCTGTTGCACTGTCTAAGGTTCTAGCACAAGAAAACATTGTAAAAAAACTAAAAAGACCCCAATTGATGAAGTTGGACTGAGTAGTGTACCAAAGTTTCATTTTGATACCTACTGTCGAACAGGGTAATAAGTGATGGTTTTGAGCGTTTTTCATCAATAACTTCTTACCATGAAAATTTCATAAACAAGTTTGGGCTCATTTTAAGGGTCTTTGTGAGGGCTATCATGTGGCATCTCCAAAAAAATTACATACCGTAAACTGGGGTAACTTAGACCACTTTTTTTTTTAAATTATGCCATTTTTTTACTAGATAAGTTAAACTTAAATTGAAACGTGCAAAATACAGATCTATACTCTAGCTTCACTCACCATAAATTGCTGGCTCCTGCCTCTCATAGTTTTGATGTAATTTAAAAAAAATCGATGGTCTTTTTTACATATGCAAACTTTTTAAATCTTTCTATTGTGTTACATAGCCTCAGTATTAGGCCTTTAATGCCCATTGACAGAATTTTTCTATGTCAAATAGTTTTTGAGTTTTGGGGGTTTTTGTTAAAAAAACCAAAAGTGGTCTAAGTTACCCCGGGAGTCTAAGTTACCCCAGTTTACGGTATGCTATTTGTAAGGTGCCAGAGGTAAAATGAAAACATCCCGAATTACCCCTGGAAATGGGACAATTTGGGACACTAAAAAAAAACTTAATTTTAAAACGTTTGAAGCATGCAGAGTATACTCATTCATTACTAACAGTCCTCCAAATCCTCCTCTTCCTTTGGAGATGATGCATAGAATAAAGGACATTTTATGTGACTTTTAATTATTTTCCCTTTATTGATATGATATTACCATTCTATACACTACCATATTATTGATGTAATATTACCATATCCATGGACATGCCATTGAGCATTGACAATGACCTTGTCCTCTGCAAGCTTCATATCAGCAGCCCTCCAGCATTTCTTCTGTATCTGTAAGCTTCAACAATGGCTTGTGACTTTGCACTATTTTAATAGGGTTCATAAAACATATATAAATATAAAGTTTTAAGAACCCTATTATAAAGTTCTATTAACAAATAAAGATAAAAAAACATACCTGAAACAGAAAGGAATATTTTAGTGACAACCATTGTAGTTTCTGGAGAACTGAATCATAATTTAGGTTAATTACTTTTCATTCTACTTTGCCTGTTGCACAATTCTATCCATCACATTCTATGCAAAATTTCATGATGACTGATGATGTATTAATTTTTAATCAGGTGAAATTTTTTTGCTGAGCAAGGTAAATGTAAGCAAAATTCTTTGTTGTTAATAGATTTTTTTTTGTTAACTGGAGCCTTTGCTAACCAAGGTTGTACAGTAAATGCATTTTGAGGGGTGTCCCTTATTGCCCATCATGCGGAAATTGCTCCTTTTTTTGGACTGAGATACGCAAATTTTCAATAAAATTCTTAAGCCAACACCTGTGACCTGTGTGCAACTTTTATGTAAGTGAAATTTTTTATTATGGCAATTATTTTTTTTGCTAGACTTTAGCAGAGATACTTTTCCAAAATCTCACTTTCCACAACTTTTTTCAAAGAATTTTTATAGGCAGTTAATGTATGATTTCTCAACTTGCTTCAAGTTACATACTAGTTAAGAAAAATGTGAACTTTACGCCACTATTTTTAGTTTTGCAATATTTCAATTACGGTATGACTAGTTTAGTTGTTATAACATTTCTGCAAAAATGTTGGGAAGACTGTCCTGATTTACCCCACCTGTCCCTTATTACCCCATTTGACAGTTATAATTAGTCTTTAATTTACACTCATTTTGTACCATCAAACCATCAATGCCACACAAGTTGCTACTCTGCAGCTACTGCACTTAAATTGCCATGCCAGCACCCAGCCTGAGCATGCTCATAAAACAAGCCATAATTTACTGGTCAGAATAATGAAGTGAAGGGTTCAATTGCCTCATAATAACTAAGAAGCTTTTTCCATCACAATAGAAAGTTATAGCTCTGTTTTGTTAGCAAAATTGATGATATCTTTTGCAGGGCAGCAATGTAAGTGCTGCATCAGACACCAATTGGCAAGTGGCAAACCAATGGAATGGATGCCTTTTTGAAGGTAACACAATTGATCAACATTGAACCCACTTAAATCCATAGTGGTAGCAAGGATTACCTATGTAATTAAATAATTCATACTGGCAATGCAGAGAGTTTTTTAGACTCTCCCTTTGTCAGTCAAATTTGTTTTTGAGTCCTAGAAGTGGACCAGTAAAGTATCACTATCATTGATACCAGTATTATTCTATATGAGAAATTGGTTTCAATCTTGAGTTGACTAAAAACAAGAAAATGACTAATCCAGTCAGTTATTAGCACACATCAACTGTACAGTTAATTTGTGCTTGTAAAATTGTATTCAAGTTGCCACTTTCTGTGACCTTCAACTTCTTCAAGGCTTCAGCCACAGCTAGTAATAGGAACACAGCATTCAAGAGAAAAAAAAATTAGAATATAAGTTTGAGAATGATTTTGAACTAGATTCTCCTGATGGGGTTTTCTATGTGGAACCTGAAATCCTGAACGACACAAATTTTATTACCACGTTTTTCTTAGCTTCATTTCGTGTCCGTCTGTCATCAAAATTTAAAACCTTAATTTAGAGCACTTCTGAAGATCCTAGAAACTTGAAATTTGGCATGCATGCTTATGCTGCCTAACAATTGAAGATTTGATCATCAGAAATAATAGGGTAAACGCAGTATATTCGGACACATTAAGGACGCATTGAGAAATGAAAAACTATAAAAAAAAACTGTATGCGTTACTCGAGTTCTGTTTGCTTTTTGTGACTCTCAAAACACCGTACTATGCTCCAGCAACGATGAAACTTCACAAAATGTTGCCAAATTTATTTAAAAGCCTTTAGAATGCAAACCTACCAAATCCCTATATTCCAACACTGTGTGTGAGGCACGTGGTGAGACGTATTCCAACTGCGCTTCAAATTGTACTAATACGTAATTCCAACATCCATGTGTTTGAACTCTGATCGCTGTGTGAGCTGTATTGGAATATGACACGGCTTTGAATTAGAACACTATTGAATATTGAGCACTACTTAATTAGGCTTTTAATTAACAGTAATTAAGCTTTTAATTAAGAAAATTTTAATTTTTGCACACAGCTTGGAACGAGCTGTGTGTGTCCAATTCAAGTTGTGACGGAATTAGTTTTCATGTGTCTAAATCCATTTCTCAACTTAATCATCTATTAATTTATTTACCACTTGAAATCAGCAAATACAAGTATACTTAAAGGATTCCTAATTTATTCACAGACATATTTAAAAGTCTCAAACCATAATATTCTTTCTACACAAACAGTTTATCACTATTTGGTAGAGCAAGGTCAACTGTCAACTTTGACACTTTTTTCGATGATCTCATTGATTGGCATGCACTGTCTCTCTTTAGATCTCAACATTTTCCCTCTAGATGGCCCAAACCTAGTGTTTTGGCAGTAGTTTGACGTGCAAATGTATGACGTCACTATTTCAACCATCAACAAAATTGAACAAATGCATGGAACTAAAACAAAGCTTAATATAAAGGAAAAACTAGAGAGGTGTCGGAATTACCCATGATGTCGGAATATACCGCATTTACCCTAATTAAAAAAAAAAAATTAAATAAAATAAAAGTGAAAATTCACGGTTCAGAATTGAGTTTTTTTTCTCAAACATCCAGACTTGCCAACAATGGAAATTGATTTGAATTGCTAAAATTTCTAGACTAAATAGTAGAAAATAAATAAATATAAAATTCATTATTAAAAACCATGTTTTCCTGGTTTTTACAAAACTAAAAATAATGAAATAAAACAATTAAAAAAAAAACTTTAAAAACCACGTTTTCTAAACAAAGAAAAAAGAAAAACATTTAGGCCTACCTAGCTAGGTGTAGGTAGCTAGCCTACTCTTAGGCTACCTACCTACTAGTATGGAATATATCTACTTGGCGAGCCGCGACTGAATTTTTCGAGCCGTTGTTGCCGGGAGGCTTTTGTGGCTTGTTTAGCACAGCCTATCTGTGCTTATTTATCCTTGTTATTTGCCTCCAGCCTTGCCTTTACCTCACCTCAATGTCTTTGTCTTCTTCCTGTCTCTTATACACATCTAGATGTGTATAAGAGACAGACGTTATCCTTTGTTCAGTCTGATAAACTTTTTAAAATTAATTAGAATAAACACATGAGCAATACGCTGAGTGAGATCATNAAAGTGCAAACCACGATTTTTTAATCAAACAAAAATTTATGACATTCGAGCCGCGAGATTTCATACCTACTGAAATTATATGATATTAGAGCCGCGATATTTCAGACAAAAATAGGACTTTTCCAGACTAAATTAGAGCCGCGATATTTCAGACAAAAATAGGACTTTTCCAGACTAGCCTACCTATATAACATTAGGCAGTAATATATAATAGGCACATAACATTTTACATTACTTAAATGTAATGTAGGAGTAAATGTTTTTCTTTTTAGTCTGTTAAGAAAACATGGTTTTCAAGTTTTTTTTTGGTTTCATTTTTAGTTTTGATTAGTACCTACTAATAGTAGCTACCTAGTACCTACCTACCTAGGTAATTCTACATTCAAACTGAGTGAGATTGCCATTGCTCAAGCAGCAATTAAAGTGACTCGAGTCACATTTATACATGAATCTTTGGATTCTTGAAGAATATGAAGTTAGAAATAAAAAGGAACTTACAGCCATCACGAAACGCTCGGAAATCGGGAGAACTGCAGGCTGCAGCAGACTGCAGAAAAATTCACGTGCCTCGTGCCCCTCGTCTCGTTTGCCTTCTCAAGTTCTTTGCACGATATTTTCAACTTCTCAAGAGCTTTGGGTCACAGGCTTAGAACTACGGAATATAGATGTAGGTCTGTTAAAGTATAGGGAGTTCTTACTGAGGCCAAAAAATGCTTGGGACATAGAGGCTAGAATAATCAGATTGCAGAATTATATCTTTGATGAATCATCAGAGTCAATGATAAGATAATTGCAGTTACACATCGATCAAGGTTTGTGAACAGTTTCCAAATATTTTACTCCAGGTAACATACTTTACCCTAAAACTAAAAATTTCCAAGGTAGTGTGTGACGATTTACATTGTACATCACTAACACTGTACCTGTATCAAAATTTAAATGACATGATTGCGCATAATACGGCTTTTAGCATTACTTCGTAGGATTATGACTTCGTATTTTAGCTTCGTAAAGATTATGAAGAGCTCAATAGCCTCGATGAACTAGACCAGATACTGCGCGGCGCTTGTATGCGCGTTAAAATAATGTAAAAAATCAGCATTGTCCTACAAGGACACGAGTATTGATTTTCGATATGAACTTTGACAAACAGCAAACTTGGTGTCTTTTACGAATTAGTTGCACCGAAAGTTATCCACGAAATTGCACGAATATTGATACATTAGGAAGTAAATTAGAGGAGTTAGAACAGGTGTTCAATTAGAAGACCTGTTTCATATTATCCGTTTTGAGGTGACTAGAGTTGCTCTTAGCAGGGCACTTGAAGTGACTGGACTAATCAAAAGATTTCAACATTTTCCCATTTTTGGGACGTCAGAGAAGTGCGTGTTAACTGTTTCAGACAGGAGAGTGCAGAACAGCTGCAGATTAATTTTCCCTTTTAGGGTAGAAACTCTTACCCCACTTCGTTCAAACCAGTTTGGTACAAGTCATCTCAATTTCTGAGTGAATAACAATAATAATAAAACATGAAGACAAAAAAAAACTCTTCTGAAGAAATCAATAAACGAATACATTGTGTAGCAATCAACTACTTATCCCATTCAAATGACTTCTGAACATCAATAATCATCATCAGCTGGAAGCGTTGCGTCTCCCCTGTCTTGAGCATAGGCGCCTGCGGGGTGACCTTATCGATACGTACAAGTACGTACATGGACTGTACAGGGTGTTAAAGCCCAAGTTCCAGTTATCAAGCAACAGGGATACTAGAGGCCACTCTCTGAAGCTCGCAAAAGATGCCGACTCAGCGTAAGGAGCAACTTCTTTTCACAGCGAGTAATTAACTCATGGAATAGTCTGCCAGAGTCAGTCGTAACAGCACCATCTGTAAACAGCTTCAAGAGCAGGTTTGACAGTTTCTGGAGGGACAACCCGGCCCTGTACAACCCTTCATGCTACGAGTGATGAGGCTTCGATCATCTTGGAACAGACACTGCGACGGGCGCGGTGCTGATAAAAATTGTTGTCGACCGATGAACAGGACCGTCAGGGACCTTAAATCGTATTGTCAAAGTCAAAGTCAAATCATTTGTCGATACCAACTCGGCACGAAGTTTCGATTACCCTATTCTGCTATTCACTACGTAATAACGGTATGGGTGCTTGCATATACCCGAAGCTAGGATTAGCTGCGGCCTGCGAGTGTTCACACTCCCAGTTTTGTCGGCTGACAGCCAATACATCTATAAACACGTCTCGGACAATTTTACATCAGGTTTTCAACTGAATCGACACTTTTGCGGACCCGCCTGCGAACTCGCGATACTGAACCACTCCTAATTCCTTCAATAGTGAACAGATTTGCATGAATTTTCGAATGTGAGTATTTATTATCAATACGCTGCCGCAGGAATTATTACAGATTTTTTTTACATAAATTAGTTTTTAATTAAAACCAATAAATGTATTGTTGATCAACCGAGACACTCATAATTCCTTCAATAGTGAACAGATTTGCTTGAATTTTGGAATGTGAGTATCTGTTATCGATACACTGCCGCAGGAATTATTACAGATTTTTACATAAATTTATTTTTAATTAAAACCAATAAACGTATTTTTTGATCAACCGGTACACTCATAATTCCTTTGATAGCGAATGGATGTTTTTGAATTTTGGAATATTAGTAGTTATTATCAATACGCTGCCGCAGGAATTATTACAGATTTTTACATTAATTAATTTTTAATTAAAATGAATAAACGTATTTTTAAAGCAACCTAACCACTCATTACATAACATCACATAGTGATCTCGGCGCTGAAGTGTAGGGCTGTAGGCCTGCTGTGGCCTGTCGCCGATTCTTTTCATTTTCGTGCCTTGTTCACAGAAGATCTAAAATCGTGTCATTCATAACTACTTCAATGAGGGCAAGGCTAACGTTCTTAATCAGTTTTTCAGTAGCGTATTCACTGGAGAGGACTGGAACAGTATTCTAGCAATTGAGGAGCGCCCAGTCGGCTTTAAATTAACAAGTTTTGAAAGACAAGAAGAAGAGGTTCTCAAGCGCATTATTGCTGTAAATCCAAACAAGTCCTGTGTACCAGACGGCTTCGATCCCCAGATTACTCAAAGAGTTAGCAACTGTCCAAGCCGGCCCTTTGACGTGATTTTTTTCGAAAAACTTTGAACGAAGCGGATATTGCGGAAATTGCAGTCTTTGAGCGGCTATTACGGCTATTCCACATGAGCGGCTATTGCGGAAATTGCAGTCTTTGGGATTTGACAGCAATGTACTCAAAGGGATCAGAGATTTTCTAGTAGGGAGACGACAACATGTCAGTATTAATGGTCCGTATCAGACTGAGCTTCAGTGCGCAGCGGCGTGCCACAAGAAAGCGTTCTTGGCCCTGTTTTATTCGTTGCGTTTATAAACGATCTGCCAGAAGCTGTGTCTAGCGTGTGCTCGTTGTATGCTGACGACACAAAAATTTATAACACAGTGAAGAAAAATACTCGCAAAAAGTAGAATTACAAGGTGATCTTGACAGGCTGGTTGACTGGACTGATAAGTGGCAGCTGCGTTTTAACGCTGACAAATGTAAAGTAATCCACCTTGGCAAGAATAATGAATAGCAAGATTACAGTATTAGAAGACACGGTTGCAACGACAGAGTGATGATGTTGAAGTCGACAATGGAAAAAGAATTAGGAGTTAATATCGACAATGAGTTAAAATTTTCTAAGCATATTGAAGGTCAAGTTAATAAAGCCAATAAACGACTTGGACTGATCAGACGCTCTTTCGAGTTCCTAGATGCAGAAGCGATGAAGCAGTTGTTTGTTGCTGTCGTGCGCCCGAACCTAGAGTTTGGAAGCGTCGTGTGGTCACCGAAACTTGAAAAGGACAAAAATTTAATAGAGAGTGTTCAAAGACGTGCAACAAGGATAATTCCGGGCCTGAAAGGCAAGTCCAATGAGGAAAGATTAAAGATTATGAAGCTTCCAAGCCTCAGTTATCGAAATCCGCGTGGGGAACTCATTAAAGCATATAAGTATACTCATGGCTTATACAAGGTCCCAGAAGGATTACTAGAATTTGAAACAAGAACCAACACCAGGGGCCACGGCTATAAACTAAAAAAACTGCGTTGTGACTCATCCCATCCATGCAACAACATTTCTTCTCGCTTCGAGTCACCGACATGTGGAACAGCCTCACTGATAGCATCGTTGACGCTCCGTGTATGAACGCCTTCAAGAACAGACTAGTCGAAACTATGCAGGAGCATATGTTCAGTCTTAAAATGCCTAGCAAATTACGGACCAGGCAATAAATCCAGCAGCTATCTCAATCAATCGTCAGCTATGGAAAGATCGGGTTCCAAAGGTCGGATTCCTTGTGACTCAAGTCACGAAAAATTCAAGAATCGGCAACAGGCCATGGGCCTATTTCTTCAATGCCGACACTTCTATTCTATTCTAATACTTAACGGATCTGCTTGCAATTTGGTGCATAAGTATTTGCTGTCAATGCGCTAGTTCAGGAATAATAAAAATTAAATAAATATCCAACATTTTCAATTATCGAATTGAAATTATCGGTCGAATTATAATTCGACCGATAAATCCCCTCATAAATAAGATACAAGTCTGAAATTTTGAATGCTATCCTGGCTAATTATTTTCAATTTGTGGATATTAGGATAAATTATATAAACTTTGTATTACCACTGTTATCGCTAGCGAAAATTTTGAACAATGAGTTTCGTAAAACGCGCGACTTTCTAACATTTTCGCGATGCCAGTTGGTTTAACTCTTTATTCTTCATTGATCGCCAACCAAGCATTTCTGAATCATTTTCATGGTGGTAGTTATATTAGTTTTTAACAACAGGTCAGTGAATTTTCCGTTTATTTAATCGAGATTTGCCCCTCCGTTGTCATACTTCGGAGGAAAGGCTGGTCTGTCCTATGGTGATAAATCTTCTGTGGGTCCACGATAAACATCCCTCTCTCCCCCACACTTTGTAGTCCACTCTCTTACCGGTCAGTCCACTCAGCTTTCAAACTGCCTGTCTGGTGCTGGTGTGGCTTTTAAAATGCCAAGACTGACAATACATGTTTACATGCATAGTCAATAATATGGAAATATTGTTAAGCTGGTCGTAAATAAATGTCATGTATAATTAAAACAACAATGCAATCAATGGAGCGTTCATGTAGATATGCAAATTTTCAATCTCTAGTAAAACAAAATCTTTAGCACAGGAAAAGGGTAATACAATCAAATTTGGAAATCCATCAGTTTAAATCACTCGAATTTCTTATTTACCAGAAATGTTGATCCGATGCTCATTTCCGTTGAGTTGTAAGACTGTCCTAAACGACCGTTCCTTACGTGAAAGCTTCGCGGCCGTATTGTTGACACAAACCGTACCACAGCGGTCGCCACGCGTCCCCGCGTTTGCTTTTCTCAGTAGCTCTGTCTTTATAGCTGTTGTCTCAACAAAGAAAAAGATAGTTCCTCAAAAATTGTTTATATTTTTAAATAGGCCTTGCATGACCAATAATTTCCAATTGTCCGGAGGCCGTTATCAATACAATAATAAAACTTGAATCAGGCTCTTAGTCTCTCTCCTATCTATAGTAGTGAGGTTTTAATCAATCCAACGAATGTAGGTCAAACCAGCATTAAAATGGATGCATGCATCAGGCTGTATGCAGAATTGGAATTTCCATCTCACAGAAATGCTGTGTGACAGAGGACCCAAATTGACAAATCGTAAAAACATATGCAATTATCTGTCACTATTGCGT